GAACATAAATCTCAAAAACAAATCAAACAAAAGAAAGTAGAAACTTGTTCCCCTTCGTCATGCCTATGTGTCTTGTTGAAGACACTCTTTGATGAAACTGAAGCCGAAATACTTCTATACTGGATGTACCTGGTAAATAGCTTAAGAGAAAGGAGTTGCACAACTAAGAGGCACAGAGAAATAAAACCAAAACAGCAAGTGATTCCATAAAATCAGTAGGAAAGCTCAAAGTAAGTAAATTATCATAATTAGAAGAAATGAGAACCTCTATCACCATAACAAACTTTCCTCTCTTCGGTTCATCAAACCAAGACCAAAAGCATAGAACCAGAACCATGAATCATGTTTAGTGGGAAAAAAGTAATGAGATAAGTTCATTTGTGCTGTCAAAATTAACAATAAGAACATCATCCTTCAAAAAAAGAACATTATCCTTCTGTAACTAAATTTTAGGCCACCAAACCTTTAGTCTTCAAGCATCCTCTTCAACTCCCTACCTTAACCTGCAAAACACTCTGTACATCAACTCAAGACTAAACATGCTGAAGTCAACACCTAAAATAAATTGGACTAAGATAACATAAAGAGTACTATGACCATCTCTAATCACTCCACTACAAATAGAGCCCAAAAGCAATTCATACACCACCACCACCAACATCATATTTAGCTAAGTTAAAATTAAAGGCAAGAAATCTATAATCTTATGAAACAAAACATAAAAAGCGTATATGCAAAGTTAAAAAGAGGATTGCTTTGACTGTAAAAAAACTATTTAATACGATGCAAGTAATAGATTGCAAGTTAATGCAGATAATGTATACATCAAAACAAAGAAAATTCAATTATACGCCACATAATAAAGACTCAAGTTGCAGAATGAAATTCAATTCAGATTGCAGGAGACGGATAAATTAAGGGCCCCCACTGTTGGACGCACAAATTACCTCTGTTAAAAATCTCTTACATACCTCTTTACTTCATAAGCTTGGCTCTTTTCTCCATAATCAAAGAATTGTGCAGAGAAGTCATAGAGATTGACTATGCCTCCTGGGCCGCTGAACTTAATCGAATCAAAATAGTAAGGTTCAACTCACCTATTGATGAAATTGATCTTAGATTCGGTGAAGACCACTATCCAATTTCCTTGATTCAAGAGTCGCCGCCTACGACTCCGGCCGGTTGCGAGAAACGACCACAGATAACCGTCATCGCCGATCAAATCCCCAACATCATGCTCCATCCCACATGAACGAAACCCTCACAGCCATAACTGATAACCCTGCCACACCGACTCCATTCCCTCACAATAATCCAATGAGATAACTGTCATCGTCGCCGGTGAAGACGGTGGGTTTTACTGGGCCAAGAAGCAGGCCCAATGAACACACATGTCGTCGACGGTGAAGACGCTGGACAGAGAGCGCGCTGACTGTTTTCGGCGGTGACGACAATGAACGGAGCGAGCACTGATCGGACTGACGGAAGAAAAAAATCACCAGGCCCGTTCAACGTCGCAATATGATCCAATGTATTTTTTCCGTGTCCAAAAATACCCCTCCGAGAAACGCTCCGGAGGCAGCAAATTTGAAATGGGGAAGCTGTTTTCCCTTTCAGCGTATTATAAATAGAGTAGATTTATCGAGACTTATCACAAACGTACAACACAACTCTCCTAGTAGACCAAAAATATATTTTATTTAATTAAGAAATGAAAAGTAAAATAATATAAAAGATATTCAATTGGAGTTTGTGAAGAATAAACACAAAGAGCAGTACAGATAAACACAAAGAAGTACAGATTACTACCCGTTCTTCGTTCTCTCCCTCTGCATATTTCTCGCCGTTTACGATTTCGGATCTCTTCCAGCTATTTTTGAGTTTCGCTCACAAGTTTTGATTCCCTTTTCTTCTCGAAAAGAACTTTTCAAGTACCACCTCTAAGTAATCAACGACGGTCAGTATTATCTGACCACGATATCTCCGAACAGAGGTCAACTCAGAGATTTCATGGAGAACTTGGTACAAGGTCTCCCATCTCCAAATCAAAAGAAGGATAAGATGACAGTGGAAAATCAGATTGCTAGAAAGAAACGTTGCAGAATCCGCGCTTTAAAATCCAGAGTCGCGCTCCCATCAAATATAATTCATGATTTTTTGCCAAACTTACCGGAATTCGCGTTTTGGGGTTTGAAAGCAGGAGCGCCTGGGTATTGGACAGCGAATTGTGTGATCTAAGTAGTACCCATTGAAATGAGCTATTTTCTTAATGCATAAGATACGATAGCCTAGATTGAGGTGACTGGCATGGGTTTAGGGGAGGCATACTCGAAGGCATGTGGATGATCATGAAAGCTCACGGAAAAGAGCTCACTCACCACATTCGCTACACCTAACTTATATAGGCATTGCATAGTAGACCTAGACTAGGGTGAGGGATAGTTCCCCAAAGTACCTGCTTTTATCCTTATTTGTTCTCTCTACTAGTTACTTCGCTTGAATCTTCCATCACAAACCCTTAAACCAATCGTCTAGATAATAACAACGTGGGAAGTAGGTTAGGGTACCGGGACCCGAGTGAATACGATCTTGATTGCCACTATATGACAACGCCACTCTAGGTTAAACTTGGTTTAGGATGTGATAGTTATTGAAACATGCTAGCCATTGACAATGACTTGCACGGAATGAATGAATCAAGCTTTTTGGCGCCGTTATCGGGGAACCTCGGTAACTAGTAGAAAACCATCGAGTTTTTCGTTTATCCTTTATTTTATTTTATTTTCTTTGTTTTGTTTTTGTTTGTGTTTTTGTTATTTTTGTAGTTCTTATTGCTTTGTGTTATGTTATCCAACTTTGCGCGTCACAGGTTGTTGAGTTTGTGTCTTATAACACTTTTGTATGCGAAGAAGAGAATCTTTGAAGATATTACCTCTTGATACAGAAACCGAGAGAACCCTTCGAAATCCAATAAGAGTTTTGAGACATCAACCTCCACCAATGACGGATCAACAACAACCTCAAGTTCCACCAAGGTCTAGAACCATGGGATCCTACTCTTGCCCAAACAAGAGTGTGACATCAACTTAAAATTTAGACATAGATTTAATAGAAGATATGATTCACGTAATATTTTTCTTGTGTACAATTTTAGAAGAACAATATATTATGAACATTTTTTAAGTTCTTACATTCTTCCTAACTCCTACGGAAATTGACGAAGGTCGTGGCTTTGGTGATATCTTTAAAATCTAGTAAAAAGTAACCAACAAAGGGTGTTTATTATAAGTTCTACGAGTTTTGAAAAATAAAAGGGTAAATATTATTTTATAGCCAAACCTTTCACGAATTTTAAAATATTAGCCAAATCTTTGAGAAAATGAAATATTAACCAATGGTTAAGTCTCCGTTAATACTTCTGTTAGATGATGATGAGCTGGTAGTGGCATATGTGATGCTGAGATGTAAGGATTCTAGTTATACGACATTCAAAAAAAATAATTTTTTATTTCATAATTTATGATCTAAATTAAAAAGGGTAAATATTATTTTTTAGCAAAACTTTTCACGGGTTCTAAAAAATTAGCCAAAGCTTGTGATACGATCCAAAATGGTTGGTTCTACAAGTCTCAGTTGCTTGACGAATAAGCTATCTCAATTGGCCAAAGAAGGGTGAAAATTTGGTTGTCTAAAGGCAGTTTCAGGTTGTCTACTTTGGGAATCCATACATCACCATTGGCTCAATAAAAATGCAAAAGAAGGCTTGGAATAGAAGATCAAGTGTTTCTCTACAAGCTAGAAGGCTTGGTTGTCCGGAAACAAGTCATTAAGGTTATTTTCCAAAGGCATCAAGTTGCTATGAAGAAGCAAGAAAACTGCATGATTTTGGCCAAGGCATAAACTGTGTTTGAGATACCATCTTTTCGTGGATATGGGAGTACATTCGAAGGGAGATTCGAGTTGAGATGAAAGTATAACACTTTGTAAATAATGTGAAGGAATTGGCTGAGTGTGGATCAAGATAGAAGGTCATTTTCCAGAAGCTCAAAGTTCATATGAAGGCTGTTTTTCTTGGCAGATGTACATGCATTTTAAGTTAGTTTCTTAGTGTTCAAGTCACCTTGTTTAGGTCGAATTCTGTAACCTTTTCTGTTCCAATTAGTTTCCTTGTTAGTCTAGACTTGTATTAGATTTATTTTGGCTATAAGTAGCCTTTCTTTTCGTTGTAAAAAAAAGGGAATTTGATGAATTGAAAACCTAGTGTTTGGTAGTTGCAAGTTTGCGTACTTGTGTTGAGTTTGGTGGATTCTAAACTTGTTGAGTCTGTATCGATTGAATAGACACTTCAATCGTGGTTGGGCATCTATCCTTATACTAGTCGAGTCTTTCTCCAGGTGTGGAATTGCACGTTTGATTCCGTTTTATCCAAACACCCAAGAACATTTGTTTTTGGTTCAATCTTTTTTGTTCAATCAAGGATACTCTTTGATTGATTGGAAGCTGCGTAGTTTTGATAAAAAACAATCCCCCTCAGGGTTGTATTAGCTTGGAGAATACAAAATACTAACCAACTGTTAGTTTTCATTAATACTTTCGTTAGATGATGATGAGCTGGTGGATGTGATGCTGAGATGGAATAAATATGGTGACTTGACACTCAAAAATAATATTTATCCTATAAATTTTAAAAATATTTATCCTATAAATTTTAAAATATTTTTTTAATTGACATGGCGTTGTGATGTATCAAACACATTGACTAACGATTAGGTTACATGTAATTATGTTAAGTCTAACATTAAAATTACTATAATTTTGTACCGTTATGAACAATTTGACTGATATTTTGTAATCTCAATGGTTGAGCTAATGTTTTAGAATTCATGAATAGTTTGGCTAAAAATACTATTACCCGAATAAAATTACAGAAAGTACAGTAGAGTAATTTTCATAGGATTTAGATCGGCGAATAGTCATTTTATGGTGACTATTGTTATTGGTGCTGGTGGCCTTTCAAAAGCAATGGGTGGCTATAAGTTGATGGTTAATCAATTAAACAAACACCTCATAAACCATTAAACTACAAAATGACCTCATTTGCACTTCGGCCCACCCTGGAATCTGGATATTTTCGACCACAACCCATGGTGCATGAAACTATATCGTACCGGCGGTTCAACTATAAAATACCAGTATTAGAGGCTAAAACGGTATACAATATTTAACGGTACTACGGTTGAACTATGATTAAACCACGATTTTACCATAAAATACCCTACCGCTGATCTCCAATACGGTTTCATGGAACATGCCACAAACAGACACTTAATCCAGTGGCGGAGCCAGGATTTGAAACTACCCCTGTCCTCTTTTCATAATATAAATATATAAATATTTAATTAATAAATATTTAATAAATAAAATTAAAACTAATTATATCTAAATAATTCATTCACATATAAAAAATAATCGACTAATAAAATCACTGTTTTCATAAGCAACCACGACGGAATTTCATATTGTGAAAAAAAACACAAAATATTTGTTGTCTACAATGTTAAGTAAGTCTCTTTTAATGTATCGCACTAAACAATCATTAGCAAATTGGTCGCCAATTCGACTTCAAAACTTGTTCTTAATATAACTAAAAACTGAAAATGTTCTTTCTGCACTTATAGTTGCAAATTGGTAGAATCAAAACTAGTGGAATTGTCGTTGTTGCTGAAAAATTTCAAGATTGTTGGGGGAAAACGAATAGACCTAAGGAGACAAAAGATTTTATTAGGTCTTTATTGCAATTAAAAGTTCATTTATAGTATAATAAATTAATTTTATATCAATTTATGAACAACTAATAAGTTGTGTTGTACTGATAAAATACTATAATACCACTTTTAATTGTTTGTTCCATCATCAATATAAATATATATGGATATTTTTTCCACTCCGAAATTTGACCCTGTCACTACATTTGCCCCTGTCACTACAAGGGCTAATGCCCCTGCCTCCGCCTATGACTTAATCCGCCTAGTCATTTCCTAATCTCTATCTACCTTAGTCCAAACCATACCAAGCAACAGATAACATTTCAACTGAACTGTCAATAGTGGGTCTATCATGCATTGAATCATTACAATTATAGCGATGAGTGAGAACTTAGTCATTACATCACAACACAGTTCCTAGCGTCTCTTCACGGGATCTTATAGACAAAATGAAGCAAGTTCCACATCAAGACAACAGGGCTGCAAATGACAAACGGAAGAACTTAGTTTGACCACGCTGATCATCACTCTTTAATGGACAAACCCATATTTTGGTTCTCTAGCAGGGATGGTTAGAAGTTGAGAAGTCGAGAGATTCACACAGCAATTATCTACTGCTGATCTTGGATCAGCTGACCCACATGATCATGACCCTCTGGTTCACTCGTTTCAGGTTGCTCGATTGCCAGAGCTACATCACTTTCAGCACTATTGCTTGCTGCATCAGTTGGCGGAGTTGGAGGTCTGGCCTCACCACTACGGACCGGCCTAAGGAAGCCTTGTAACCTCAATCGGTAGCTTTCGCTTGCAGGTTGTGACCTCATGTAACGGGTGGAAGTAGTTACAGTGGTTGGTGTTGAAGACCTCTCTATATTGGACAAGGCACTGAGGTCGAGGTTGGGAAACACCGAGCACCTGCACCTCGGACATTTCACGTTCAGCCGCAGCCACTCGTCTATGCACTCAACATGAAAATTGTGGGCACAAGGCAAGCCACGAACCTGGACAATTACAAGAAAGGAAAGCATGTTAGTTATCTGCTGTTTCAACTTGTGATATTAATCCCTGAACAATACTAAGGAAATTGCTGTTAAACCTCATTCCCAACACGAAACTCTTCTAGGCAGATTGGACATTCACTGCAATCTGTTGGAACAACCTTTAGCCTGAACTTTGGTAGCTCCTGAATCAGAGCTTCGACAGCTTCTCTCTGTGAAATGAGAACTATCAGCTTGCCACAACCATTTTAATGGGATATCAAGACTCGAAGAGTGAGTTATGGAAGCAGAAGCAGCCACCTGAGTAGGAGTTAAATAAAGTCCCGGGTGGTATGCAGTATTATTATCTTGACCCATACCACGCATTTCTTGACCAGCAGCTTCAAATGCCCAGTCCGGAACCTGGATCATGTCGACTATAACCTGGGATATGGTGCATGTGGATGGATGAGTAAATGAACCATCTTCAATTAGTTTTAAGAAATTATTATCCAAGAACTTTTGAACAAGATCAACAAATCAAAATTTTCAAACCAAATACCCTATATTCTGTAACAGGAACTCCATTCTGTGCCCGTGCAACCAGTGCTTGTCTTCTACTTAGCCACTGCAATGGAAATAAATTGCAGTACATGCATAAATAGGTAGGGTATACTGGAACATTAAACAGATAGAGAAACACTTTGGTATGCTGCTTAGCTGTATACACGTGGTAGAAAGATGATATAGAACAAGATAGCTCAATCGGAAAAAGCATGGCACTAAGAAACTAAGAAGCGTGAATACCTTTCCAATACACATGCAAGCAATGCATACGAGTCCACAGTAGCTGAACAGCAACCAAATAAGGAAACCCCATTTCTGACCTTCTTCTGGCAACTGCATGAAGATGAGATAAGATTCGACATGTCCTCCAGTAAGATGACTCAAAGAATGTCAAAAACTAAATTGAGGGAATCTAAGGAAGGGGAGCTTACACAATTTCTTGCGCTTGTGAACCAAAGTGTTCCAATCACAGTCCAAGCCCATAGAAACGGATAGAGCATCATCGACAAGATTGAAATAACCACCACTCTTCCACAATAAAGGGCATATCTCTGCTGCCATCCAAAATCCCTACCGTCATGTGAAAGACACAAATGGAGACGATGTAACAATTTAACACATCACAGTCTAGAGGAAATTGTGAACAAACATCAACTTAAGGCAATGCGATTGAATTAGAGTGAAAACAAACGCATCATTTGATTTGTCACAGTGGGTCAAGCATAGACAACAGAAATGATTCGCATATATCATCTCAAAGAACCTATTCATCACAACTTCAGAAAGAGAACGAGGGTCCAAATCCCCAAAGAGATTCACTACAGAAACTGAATAACAAAAGCCAGTGTAGTAATGATACTTACAATACCATTCCAGCAGCAAGTCCATTATCTATGAACATCAACAGGCGAAACACAAACACGGTAGTGTAATCAACCTGCAGCAGCAAAGATGGAATAAGCTTTCCAGCCCCTAAACCGGAGCTTTCAAAACAGTCGGATCCACAAGACTAGAGAGAGAGACTCACCACAATCCATATGTGCAGAGGGTGGGTACAGAAATGATAGCGCTTCCAATTGATGGCAACAATTATTCTGTCAGCGGGGAACCATTTAGGAAGAACAACCACCAATTCCCAATTCCGAAAATAACTTAGAGATTCAAATACAGAAAACCTCAAAGAACCTCAAGAAACAAACACAGAAAAACGATTCAGAATTCAAGGATACACGCTCGTTGCCAGCATGGACAAGAAGAAGCCATGTACCTGGAGAAATAACCCGAAATTCTTAATGTAAGACAAGCTGCTACACACCCATTGAAGAGAAAATCTCACCAATTTGAAGCGTGCTACTATGAACAGCATAAAAAAAAAAAAAGATGGAACTTTACCACTTGAAATCAACTCCCCGGATAGCCATAATCGGGAAAGCAAGAAAGGAAACACTCAGAATAGCTACAGGTGGGAGAGCATCATCTCAAGCGGAGAGGATGAGGCGGGAATCCAAAACGAAGCCTGGCATTTAACTGAAACAAGTAGCAGCAGCAGCAGTTGTTGGGTTGCAGAAATGCGAGGAGTTAGAGCTGAATTACCGATTTTGAAAGAAAAAAAGGAAAGAGAATGAAAGTCCTTTTCTCTTCTTACTTTAGCTGGGACTGGGAGCCTGGGAGCGAGTTGGGTGGGGGCAGTGGAGAAGCTAAAGCTTACAGAAGTTGACGGCGGTGTGAGCGAGTGTGTGAGTGTGACTTGACGGCGTTAAAATGGGAAGTGGAGAATAGCGGTAGTCTGGCAAACATAATGCACTCATCAATATGGGTGTACATGGCCCGGATAAAAAAAGGAAAAAACATGGCGGCGGAGACTAATGTACCATTGTACAACTTATACAAGATTTTCGGGATGAGATAGCATGCCTACCCATAAAAGGGTTGGCAAAATGACAACCCCTATTAATTATAGGTTTTTAAGGTAATTAATTTGTGTTGCATTTAATAATCTGTATGAATTAAAAACACATATTAATTACTTTCCTTTTTCAGTGCACTGGTAGTTGTATCAGTGCACTGGTATACTGAACTCATATTAATTACTTTTCTTTTTTGGAACTACCATTGCAGTGATACATCTACCATTGCACCTGTACACAACTACCAGTGCACTGATACAACTACCAGTGCACTGAAAAAAGAAAAGTAATTAATATGTGTTTTTAATTCATACAGATTATTAAATGCAACACAAATTAATTACCTTAAAAACCTATAATTAATAGGGGTTGTCATTTTGCCAACCCATACAAGGGTTAGCATGCTAACCGATCCCAAGATTTTCCAATACATTCGTTTTTTAATGGAAAATCTGGAAATCCCGCATTACAGTGTTTCGAGTATACTCAACAAGTGGCCACCATCCTCATTGCTCAATTTGCTCCAAACCAAACAATTACCGTTTACCCATCATTTTTCTTCCTCCTCCTCCAGTCCTTCCTATGGTGCCTCCAATCTAGTTCCCTTCACCGCCCGTCGCCCGACCTCCCCAGGCTCTTCTTCAACATTGTTGATAATCCTTATTGAGATTGTGCTACAAGTAGAGGTGGCAATTGGATCGGATTCGTGGATTCGTGGATTGGATTGGTGGATCCATGGATCAAATGGATTGGATCCAATGGATTGGTGGATTCATGGATTGGATCAAATGGATTGGTGGATTGATCCATGAATCCAAATGACATCCAAGGCTTGGACCAAAATGTAAATTTTGAAAAGTTTAGGTACTAAAATGTCGTAATGAAATTTTTTAGGTACCAAAATGTAATTTTCCAGTGATATTTTTCGTATAAAATATAAATTTTAGGTACCAAAATGTAAAATATAAAAAATATAGGTACCAAATCGTAATTTGCCATTTGGATTTATGGATTGATCCATGAATCCACCAATCCAATTGGATTTGGATCAAATGGATTGGATTTAAATGGATTGGATTAGGTGGATAATTTGGTGGATGGATTGGATTGGATTCATGGATTTGGATCCTAATTGCCACCTCTAGCTACAAGCTTGGGGATAAAGCTCGAAGATGGACGTCCGCACATCACTTTTGGTGTCCAACATCATATGATTGGTCACCTTTGATGACACACACTGCTAGCTAATCGAGACGGTCTGCTCTTGATTCGTAACATCGACCTTCTTCCTCTAACATTCTATTGTCATATCTCAGAATAAAAAAAAATAAAAAATAAAACTAGGGGTGTACATGGGTCGGGTGGTCCAGGTTTAGTCATTTTAATCACCCGACCCATACACTACGGTTTGGGAAATATTAAACCCAAACCCACCCAAAAAAATTAAAATCCTGTTGTTTGTTTCTAATTGGGTTGGGTCGAGTTGGTGATATTTTTAAGTAAAAACCCAACCCAACACAGAATATGTAATTATTCTACACCATAAAAATATTTTATAACTAATTAAAGTTTCAAACGAATAAATTGAGGTGAAAGGTATCAAAATTTCACAAATGTTTTTTAAATTTTAACAAAATGTGATTTACTTCAACAAATGTCTAATTTTTTCACGATATTTGTTGAAATAGGCTAAAATGTTATAAACAAACATATCCATAATAGTTATTCTATTAAAATTGTACACAAGAAAAAGGATTAGGTGAATCATAGCTATATTAAATCTATGTCTAAACTTTAAGCTGAAGAATGCATTAGATTAGAGATACAATGAGAGAAAAACATGGCGAAATATCTTAATTTTCTCATAAGTATGGTTATATACGATATAAATATTTTTTGGATACGAGCTCATATCAATAGTTGGAAAAAGGGTTGGATCGGGTTCTACGGGTTGTGCAATCCAAAATCCAAACTCAACCCAAAATAGGCGGGTTGTACAAAAGAAAACCCTCACCAACCCAAAACCTTAATTTTAACGATAAAACGTGTGGGTTGGTCGGTTTGTACGGGTGGGTCGGTTTGCGAGTGTGTTTGTGCACCCCTATCATCAATTACCAAATTTAGACCTATATTTAATGTCAAGTGATGAAGTACACAATCCACTGCTACAAAATCACTACAAAATTTCATTATTCAATCTTCATTCTCTCTTTCATTTAATGGTCCTGATTATTTCGCAAAAAAGGGACATACTGGTAATTCTGTCACCCTCGGTCTTATTTTTGTTTAGCGATCCAGAGGTTACTTTTCATAATCCCTTATTTTTCATATTCGTATCCTACAAAGTTCGTTTTAACTCCGAATTTAAAAACATCGAATAAAAAGAATGCATTAATTATGACTTACACAATGATATCCATTTTGCTATATTTTGAGCAAAGAAAAAAATGAACTCTTCAAAATACATGTCGATTGTAGTATTATCACTGTCATATCTACAAAAAATGCATGAATTATGATATACACAATAATATAGATCTTGTTATGTTTTTTGAAAGATAAGATTTCATCCCAACATCGTATCAGTGTCATATCTTAGGGATAATATCAGGATATGACAATGATATGGTGTTATCAAATTATTTTGACAAACGTAAGACATAATACCAACATCATAACACCATCATACCGACATCATATCAACATTATATCACTATTATATCAACATTATACCATTATGATATCTGATAACACCCAATTGGTGTTATTTACCCTTCGTGTTTAGGGTCGCTTCGTGCTTATTCATGTGTATAATCAGAAGAATATCATCGATTTCATCCCTATTTCGTTCATATTTGATTATGATGTGATTTTAGAGTTCTTTAGACGATATATGTGAATTAGTTACAAAAAAGGGCATAAGTATAGCAAAATGGGCAAGAAACTGATGATCACGGCCTGAAGGGGAAGATCTCGGCCGAGACAACAGGCCACAAAACAGAAGTGAAGAGCGCGGCCTAAGGACCCAAGATCGTGGTCACGATAATGGAGCCTTTGGGGGCGAACTTTGTGAAAAAGCCAACCGAGAAGGAACAAAGAGTTTTTGCCAGTTTGGTCACGGTCACCGCCTTCCCTGTCTGCGAGGAAGTTCGCGGCCGCGACTCACGAATCACAACCGTGAAGTCAGACCGTGAACTCTCATCAAAAGAAGACCAAAATGGCGACGCCTAAAGATAGCGGTCTCGGACTGCTTAGCCGCGAACTCGTCTGCCCCCTAAAGTCTATAAATAGAGGACCTCTTCCCCCATTTTAAGAGAGCTGGTTTTGAGATAGAAATTTTTGGTTGAGAGAGAGAGGGAGAGAGAGAAGACGAAGGAAGGAGAAGCTAGAAGAGAGGATCAATCTTCCTCAACATCAAGTCTTCCCCAAATTCTTCTATGTATCTTCTTCCCTCATTTATGGAGTAGTCTCTTAAGGTACTAGGGTTTCTAAACCCCAAACCTAGTTTTATGGTTATTGTGCAATGAATGAATATGTTAGGATTCTAAATGAATGTGTTTTCCTAGTTGATTTTAATGTTTCATCTACTTTAATTGTGCTTGGGTAAGTCGCCATAATCTTCTTTACTAGCCTACTTGAGCTTCTACGTTGGGTATGGAGTTTTAGGGTTAGACATGTATTGATCGTACGTGCATGATCAGCTTTTAAATTTATAAGTCGACGCACTCTCTATACAATCCTAATTAAGCCAAGCATAACCTATCTAGGGTTGTTGTAAAGTGGCTCGGTCAATTCCAAGGGAACCCTAAGCTTACTATTACTTTGCTCCCAACTACTATCTAATCGAATCGGAAGTTTGGTGGAAAGTCTAATCTAATCTAATCCTAAAGGAAGAATAAACAACCAACCAAGTAGTTGGGATAGCGCTATAAATGAGATGGTTGCCTAGGGTCCAATTCTGCAAGCTATGGTTGTCAAGTAGGGTTAACCGAAGGTGGTGAGTGAGTTCTTTTCCGTGGGCTTTCGTGGTTATACACACGCCTCCCCTAACCCCATGGCAGTCACCTCGATCTAGGCTATCGTATTTGCGGCATTAAGACCATATCTCATTACAATGGGTACTACCCACCGTCCACACCAAGGTTTCATCCCATGTTCTATATAAGAAGACATTCTTATGATAGGGGTATGGTTGCCTTATCCACCATAAGATCCTATTCATTCAGCTAACCCTAATATTTTTTTTATGGTGTATACTTGTCTAACACTAAAACTCCATACCCAGCGTAGAAGCTCAAGTAGGCTAGTAGAGAAGATTAAGGTGACTTACCCAAACACAATTAAAGATAGAGAAGCAATGAAATCACCTAGATAAACACATTCAAACATAAGCCATTCATTCACAACCTATAAACTAGGGTTCATCTTCCCTAAACAACCATTAGAGATTCAAGTCATAGAGAGAGAAAGAAAACACAAACTAGAAGAGAGGGAGTGATGGAATCAATTTTTCTTCTCCTTGCTCCTTGGGTGGATTGGACATTTAATTAAGCTCTCCCAAGGTGTTGTCCTCTCTAAAACAACCCTAAACCCTAACTTTCTCACTCTAGGTTGGCTCCCCCTTGTCAAGTGCACAAAACAAGTATATAAATCTGATGGTGGTCAAGGCCTCCCGGGTGTGACTCAATGGTAACGGCAGTGACCTGGCCGTGACTAGCTGGAAATTCTCCGAATAGCCCGAAATGATGGGTTTTCAA